TTTTTTTTTTTTTTTTTTTTTTTTTTTTTTTTTTTAAAGACAAGGTCTCACTATGTAGCCCTGGCTGGCTTGGAATTCAGAGATCTTCTTGCTTATGCCTCTCAAGTGCTGGGATTAAAGGCGTGTGTCACCACACCCAGTTTATAAGTTATTTAGAAGAATAGGATCAAGTTCTGCTAATGTGAGTTATCCATTTGGGAAAAGTGGAAACTAAATAAAAAAATTCTCTAAGACTTACAGTTTGACCAGTTTTAAGCTTAGGGCTTTTTTGTTACGGTGGATTGGTACTTAGGTTAAAACTCTTATATAAGATGGTCTAGGGACTAGCAGGAATCATAGCTGGGTGTTTAGTCACGCTCCACTATCCTGATGACTTGATAGTATATACCTGAAGCAGGACATTTTACTTTCAGGCAGCAGTGACACAGAAGTGTTCCAGTGGTTTTCCTGAAAGCTCATCTTGTCTCTCTGGATGTTAGAGAACACTTAACTTTTCTGTGACTACCTGAAAGTGTTTGAAGATGTCAGTTCATTTCTTTAAAGATAATCCTTTTTATTCATGGCACTTTGATGGACACCTTGAAAAACAAGTTTCTTTGTGGAGAGTGCTAGCATCTCAAACTCAGCTAGAGAGGTTATGCAGTGTCCTGTCTCTTCACTGTGAACAGCAGGCAGGTGGGAAAAGTGCATGTAGTGTGGTTTTAAAAAGCACCACCACACACAAGTTCTTAGGGTAGATTGTCTGTGGCTTTCGGGTTCTAAGTAGAATCTAGTACATGCCAGTAATGGCTTCATGAATGTTCTTTAGGTGAGTACATTAAAATGTAGTTTTAGCTGACATTGAGATGATTTAATTAGAAAACAAAACAAAAATCTGATGCCTACCAAATGTAATAAGGGATTAAGGAACTATACTGACTAGAATTGAATGAATAATAGCTTATTGAATTACCTTTTTGCAAATGCCCAATTATATTAGGATTCAGTGCTGTTTCAGTCCATGCTTTCTTTGCGATCATCGAAGTGTTTCTGACACTTAGCATTGTATACATTTATGAAAGCCTTTTCTGAAAAGATTATGACCATATGTCAAGCTTAAGTGCATTGAAAGGGTCCAACTTTTCATGTAAACCAGTCTTGCTAATAATTATCAATTTGCAGTGAGTTAATTGGTTTTAAACAGAATAATTGCACATTTTAAAAGTGTTCAGTTTGATAAACTTTGCCATACATATATATCCATGAAGGGATACCATACTCAAAGTGCTGGAAATCTGAGGCTGGAAACAGACAGTGGACCAAGGCTGTGGTGTGACCCCAGCATCACAAAACCACTGTAACAAAAAATAGAATTGAAAATATCCGTCTCCCCAAAAGTTTGCTTTCAGCCATTTGTAGTCCTCTTCATTGCCTACCCACACCCATTTCCAGGCAATTGACACCTATACTTTGTTACTAGAAATTAGTTTTTTATTTCTTTTTGGAGGGACGGGTTGAGACAGGATTTCTCTAGTATTAGCTGTCTTAGAACTCACTCTGTAGACCAGGCTGGCCTCCAACTCACAGAGATCCACCTGCCTCCACCTCCTGGGTGTAGGGATTAAAGGTGTTCATCACCACTGCCTGGCTAGTTTTGTTTTTTAGAGTTTATATAAATGGATTTTACAGCATACTTGTGTGTGTGTTCTCGAGCATGTGCATATATATTTATTTCCTCACAGTGATATATATATATATATATATAGTATTTGTATGTGTGTGTGCTTATTCATGTGTGAATATGTAAATTATAGAGGTATGTTATCTTCCTTTGGCATTATTTAAAAATTCTTTCATTTACTTATTGTGTGTATGTGTACGTGTGCGTGTGCGTGTGCGTGTGCATGTGTGTGTGTATGTGTATGGATGCATATGTGCACATATGT